ACACAAATTCTAATTTAGTGGGCCACACTTACCAATTAATTTCTAAATTCGAACTACATTGGTTTAATCCCTTCAAAGGGGTACGCAGGCAATCTAAAGATTCAATCTAGATGTAACCGTCCAAATCTTAAATCCAAACAGAATCCCTGGTTTATTCTTAACCAAATTTGCCCCCAAACACAATTCCATATCAAATCCTTTGTTTATTCAGCTAAATTCACTCAAACACTCCTCAATCAAATTCATTCAAATTCCCCGTTTTGCAATAAGTCATTTATTCATTGCAATTCTTTGAACTACGAATCGCTTGATTCTCGCAAGGGATTACGTAGGCACCCTGAGGTTCGACTTAGGGGCAGCTGCAAAACCAAACACATACGTTCTGTTTCTTTATGATGGAATCAAAGGGTGTTCCCTTGAAGTAAGGGATTTTAATTAAGAGACATCGTGTCTCGAATGGGTCGAATGTAAAATAATAAAACCACATTATTTAATTAATGGTGGTGAAATTTTTTTTTGGGAGGTTCACATTTTTCTTCAACAACCATGTCCTTAGAGGTGAGATGAGTTTTTGAAAGCTTTCAAATAAGTTTGAAAAACGTGACTTGTACGTCAATATCAAAGACATGCCATTAAATGTATAAGACTTTAACGAAATCAAGGTACACAACATTTATTGCCCTATGTTGAATTTTGTTGTAGTGTCGGCAACCGTTTATATGTGAAGGTTTGGAAGTGGGACTTTTATATACATCACATCATATGGAGTACTCATCATTAATTAATTGGACTGACTTGTCTTATTGCGAAATGTGATTGACTAGCCTTGAGGAGAAATTATAGAGTGATACAATATCACCACGTTAGCTAGTTTAGACTGCCACTCTATAATTGTCGCGGGTCCAATGACTATAATTTCTCTTCATATAGAATTCATTCACACTAGTCATGCTTAACAATGTTTTCTAAGCAATAATTGATAATGTCTCTATGTAGTGCATCTGGAGTAATTTTTGGGTGTTCTGAGTACACCACGTGACAGGTATACCACCCAATAGATGTAGGACATGTGGAACCTTATTGTTGCTCAACCTTCTCTCTATCATTCCATGTATTAAAATCTTCTCTCATACCAATCATTTATCGGTAAACGTTTCACTAAATTTTGTGTTACTCAAATGTTTTTCCAAATATGCATATGATTGTGTGACGGGGTAAAGAGGTATTTGGGTTAGTATTTAGGACAAGAGTTTAGAGTTAGAATTGGAGGGTTTTAAAATAGAAACAAAGAGATTTGATTAGAATGGAGAGAATGATTACAGGGCTTGGTTTTATAGGACTGTAGGCTATGTTGCCTTCTATTGTTTTAGCTCTTGGCTTCACAATTTGTGCTTGATTTGATTAGGTGGTGGGAGAGATCAAGTGTATGTATAGAATGTGCTAGAATATGAATATGGTTTGAATACTTTGGGTTGAATTTTATTCTTCTCTATAAGGAGGTATATATAGGAGTTTACATATGAGGGTTTTACAAGGAATTAGATATAGTAAAGAATGAGGAAAGTATCTCCTAATTGTACAATGATTTATCACTTATATAAAAAATAGAAAAGTAAATCCCTTAATTAATCAAGGAATAAATCTCTTTGATTAATTAGGAGACTCACGTCAACACTCCTCAAGTTGGTGCAAATATGTCACGAATGCCCAACTTGGTAAGTGAGTCATGAAATGCTCTTCCACACTCACAGCATATGCAATATCTGATCTTGGAGGACGTATGAAGAGTAGAACCTTTGGTGGTGGTGATAGAAGAAGGAGTTTGGGTAGCCAGGTCAGCAGGATTGACCGCATGCTTCTGTGAGTCTGCAATAAGATGGAGAATCGTATGGGTTCTTGACATCGCAGCGGAAGTAAAATGTGATATGAGAAGGTGGGGAAGGTGATGTGAGAAATTTGATGTATGAATTTGATGTAGGAATTGGATTTAAGATGTATGTGTATAAGATTTGATGGTATGTGTTTAGGGATTTGGATAAGAGGATTTGAGGACTTTAGATTTGAGAGAATTGGATTTGGGGAAAAAATATGAGGAATTTGATTTAGGGTTTTGGATAAGAGGATTTGAGGACTTTAGATATGAGGGATTTGGATTTGGGGAATAAAATATGAGGAATTTGATTTAGGCTTTTGGATTTGAATATGAGAAATTTGAAAAAATTTGAGATAAGGGTTTGGATTTGAATATGAGAAATTTGAATATAATGTAGGGTTTGAGTTTGAAGAAATTTGAAGAAATTTGAGATAAGGGTTTGGATTTGAATATGAGAAATTTGAATATAATGTAGGGTTTGAGTTTGAAGAAATTTGAGATAAGGGTTTAGAGACAAAACAACTTCTCTTCACTCCCCTTCTCCCCTTGAAGAGAAGGGGTTGTCAGAGTCAATAAATAAGCAACATCTTCTTAGGATACATCAATAAACATATCATTTTCACTCCCCCTCCCCCACTTGAAGGAGGGGAGGAGAACACTTAAATTTCAAGAAGACACAAGCACATGTCATAAGAAAACACTTAAATTTCAAGAAGAACGCAAGCACATGTCATAAGAAACCTGGCTCTGATACCATGCTAAAATATGAATATGGTTTGAATACTTTGGGTTGAATTTTATTCTTCTCCATAAGAAGGTATATATAGGAGTTTACATATGAGAGTTTTACAAGGATTTAGATATAGTAAAAAATTAGAAAAGCATCTCCTAATTGTACAATGATTTATCACTTATATAAAAAATAGGAAAGTAAATCCCTTAATTAATTAAGGAAGTAAATCTCCTTGATTAATTAGGAGACTCACGTCAACAGAATGTTGCCTGGTTCCCGTGTTGTCCCGGCAACTTGGGATATCTCCACCATTCTTAGCCACGTGTGTTTGTGGCTTGCACTATAATCTTCGTTTGTGTTTGTCGCTATTCTGCCATGTCTCCACCACCATTCTTAGCCACATGTGTAGTGTAGTAGCTAGGGATTAATATCTCGGATATTTGCTACTCCAAGCCGACCCGACAGGCATCCCTCATCAGTATTTGACTTTTAATTTTCCTGGAATTATGTAGATTATTATAGACAAATGAACACTCTTTAACAGAGTGATTGCTCCCTAGATATGTTCCTTTGATCATTATGCTAGCATGTACCAAAATAAGGCCATTATGGCGAAAGCTTCAGCAGACATCTTCATTGGTAAATTTGTAGCCATTCTCGAGAGTGAAGCAGCCTTCATAGCAGCTGTTCGTGATCAAGTTGATGATCGAGATTAAGCAGGAGTTGGTATTCATGAGATATATGTTTATTTTAGTCAATTATATAAGAAATTGATCAAACTTCATCGTTTGGTGGGGTTGTGTGACTTAGATTGCATATAATGCAATGCTGAAAACATTGTTTTACAAATATGTTCACTGATTTTGATCATATATATATACACATCAATTTTATTGAATGAACAAGAGAAAAATCTTGATTTTCGTGAGAAAATAACATGAGCTGAAGTATGTAAGAACATGAACCAAATAATAATATTACTTTTAGGCTCTAGGATATTGGTGAGACGTGAGAAAGATGTTATTTTTATATATGGGCAAGGAGTTTGTAGTTCAAGTGATTAAGAGCATTTGTCTCAATATATTTTAGGTCCTAAGTTCGATTCCCCCCTCTCTTAATATTGCTGAAAAAAAATAACAATAAAAGATTCTTATGCTTGCTCTGTTACGGTTCTTATATACACCATACTAAGTAGAATCTCTTTCTCATATTTCTTGTATCTTCTTGTGGTGTTGCTCTTATGAGCGTTAATGGGTGTGATCAAGTTCTTCATATTTTCTTCATCTAATAACAATCCCATGACTTGCTTGTGTAGGACAAAGACTACCTTCGAACCTTCTATGGGAAGGAGGCAAGTATTTTCCTATATATATACATGTATTGAAGTTAATTTGTGTAATAATTACCTTACCCAATATGTAGTGCTCACGTGTTGGACTTAAATGTTTGACTCCGATATGGACTTGGCTCAATGTGTGACCTACTATGTGGTGGTCCCATGTGAGGGGGCGTGTTAAAGAATATAAATCTCACATTGGAAACTTGACAACATAAAGTACAACTTATAATAAGTGGTTCCACTACCACCAAGGCCTTTTGTGATAAAATTCCACACCTACTGGGACACATGAACCTAACGAAAAAACAAAGAAAAAAAGTATGACTGTAACACAAGTAATTCAATCCTAATTTGGAATTTGTGAAAATCTTCATTAAGGAAGTCAAAAATCAGCGGAGATTGGGATAGAATGACCATGATTGTAGGAGACAAGCAAATATTGTATGTGGAGTAATCGATATTATATGTGGAGTAATCGATTCGGGTAACTTATTATATGTTAGAAAGTGGACTTACCCATCACAGCACGTGGAGTACACATCCTCGCATGCATGGGAGAATGCCCAACTTAATCAACGATTGTCCCAACCATGGTCATGCGTAACATCGATTTCTAATTATTAATTGATAATCTCTCTCTCTCTCTCTTTAGGGCCGAGAACTCGGGGATTTTTGTCATCCTAGGTAAGAGATGGTAATTCCTTTTAGAACTTTTTTTATTTATGAAGTAATTCCTTTTAGAACTTGTGATCGACAAAATGATGAAAAGAGAACCACTTTTTCAGCAATAATAGACCCATAGCAAGATGGAATCTACTTTTTCGAGTTTTCAGAGCAATAATAGAACCATAGCAAGATTTCTAAGCAATAATTGATCCTCTCTCTCTTCTAGTACATCTGAGCTGAGTCCCAACCCACCACCACACAATCGAATCTTATCTTCTCACATGTATTTTGATTTTTAAATTTTGTGTTTCATCCGGTTGATTGCTCCCCAGAATTAATTCTAGATGTGTTGTTTTGATTAAGCTAGCATATACCAAAATAAGGCCATTATGGCGTCAGTTTCAGCAGACCTCTTCATTGGCAAATTTGTAGCAATTCTCGACAGTGAAGCAGCCTCCATAGCTGGTGTTGGTGATCAAGTTGATGAGATTAAGCGGGAGCTGGAATTCATGAAAGCCTTCTTAGCGGATGCTGACGGGCGCAACAAAGCACACACACAAGTAGAGGAGGTGTGGATGAGAAGCGTTCGAGACTTGGCCAATGATGTGGAAAACATCATTGATGAATTCATGTATCACGTGTACGAGCAGCAAATTGGAGGTCGATTTGCCAGGTGGATCCACAAAACCATTCACTTTCCAAAGCACCTTTGGTATAAGCGTAAAATAGCCAACAAGTTAGAGAAAATGGCTATGGCAATTAGAGCTATTACAGAGAGAAATCAGAGATATGGTGGTGGTGCTGCTGTAGAAGGAAAAAGTACTTCTTCTGAGGATATTCGCAGATGGGTGCAGAATCAAGCGGAGTCTTCTCTTTATCATAAGGAGGATGAACTCGTCGGGATTGAAGGTGATAAGAACTTGTTAATGGGATGGCTGATGAACAAAGAGCAACGCCAAACTGTTGTGTCTGTGGTCGGGATGGGAGGATCGGGGAAGACAACTCTAGTTGCAAGGACCTTCAAAGATGAAATTGTAAAGAGGCATTTCGAATGCTATGCGTGGATTACTGTTTCCCAGTCTTATGTGATTGAAGACTTACTTAGAAGATTGATCAAAGAATTCCACAAAGAAAAGAAGGAAGAGGTCCCTGCAGAAATGAATGCCATGAGTTATAACGAATTGTTGGAGATGTTGGTGAACTACTTGGAGACTAAAAGGTACCTAGTTGTATTGGATGACGTGTGGGATGTCCACCTTTGGGAGAAAATAAGGTTTTCATTTCCAGATAAACAACTTGGAAGTCGAGTCATGCTTACAACTCGAAGAGAAGACATAGCATCCTCTTCTTTCGGAGTTGAAAGCCATGTTCACAAGATTCAACCGTTGGAAAGGGGTGATGCGTGGGATCTCTTCAGCATGAAAGCATTCTCAAGTTATCAGAACAAATCTTGTTCACCTGAACTTCTGCCTTTAGCTCGGGAACTTGTGGAAAAGTGTGAAGGCCTACCACTCGCGATCGTAGCCTTAAGTGGTCTCATGTCTTCTAAGAAGTCACTTACAGAGTGGAGCACAGTCTACAACAGCTTAAGTTGGCATCTAACAAACAATTCTTTGTTAGAACCTATGAAGAACATCTTGTTGTTTAGTTTTAATGATTTGCCATACCGATTGAAGCAATGCTTTCTATATTGTTCCCTTTTCCCTGAAGATCATGTGATCATAAATTTAAGGCTCATTAGATTGTGGATCGCTGAAGGATTTGTTGAACATGTCGAAGGGCTCACGCCAGAAGAAGTTGCAAAGAGCTATCTTATGGAACTCATTTTTCGTAACATGCTACAGGAAAGGTTTGTAGGATCCAACCCAGCATGTACGATGCATGATCTTTTGCGGGAGATTGCTCTGTCTATAGCAAAAGAAGAAAAGTTTTGCGCTGTACATGATGGGAGTGAAACAGTAGAAGAAACTGGGGCACTCCGTTTGTCAATTCAAACAACTAAGGGAGAAATTGGATCATGCACAGGTATATCACGGCTTCGTTCGTTTCTCGTCTTTGCCACTGGCGTATCCCCGTTCTCTTTCTCAAATAAATTACCTTTTGACCTTAAATTGTTGAAGGTTCTAGATTTGGAGGATGTCCCACTTGATCATCTGCCAGACAATCTAACGTCCTTATTTAATTTAAAATCTTTAAATTTGAGGGGAACTCCAATTACTGAGCTTCCAGAATCCATTGGACAGCTCCGCAACCTTCAGACCTTGGACATCATGGGGACAAAAATAGAGGCACTTCCAAGAGGGATTTCCAAGTTGCTAAACTTACGCCATTTAATTATGGGTCCATGCTATGATAGTTCTAAGGTAATTGGGGTAAGAATACCATCAAGTATTCGTAAGATGAAGAAATTGCAATCTTTGGCGTATATTGAATTAGAAGGAAACATTATTAGACTTATTGGAAGTATGACCCAGCTTACGTTCCTTGGCATTACAAATGTGAAAGAAAGAGACGAGGAGGACCTATGTGCCTTAATTCAATATTATTTAATTAGTTATTTAATATTATTTAATTAGTTATTTAATGATGCATATATTTCTTCCTATTGTTCTTTGATTTCATATTTTAGTTTTCCTTTCGTTTAATCGACATATATAAGGTGATGATGATGTACCATTTTCTCTTTTTGCTTAAGATTGTAATTTGTTGATAAAGTGAAAAGATGAACGGAAATCAAATTTGTAGAAGCAAAGGGGCGAATGCGTTTTGGGTAGAAAATGAAAAGGATGGACAAAGGCATTGCTTACGTGTCCATCGGATTGTTTGGTGGACTGCTATTGAGGAGCTAAAATTGACGTCCTTCATCCATTGTATCTTAATGAAAATGGACCTATATCTAAGAACCCTTAAAGATTAGGGAGACTTTGGAAAAACACAAAGGAGAGAGAAAGTTTGTAAAATAAGCAAAAATAGACAAAATTACCCTTATTTATTTTTGGATTTCCTAAGGAATCCTTTATATTTGCATGTCTTTGATTTGAAAGTTGAGAGATTTTTCTGTCTTTTTTTAAAAAGCTTTGGCTTTTTCCAAAAGTGAAATTTTTTTTTGGCTAAGACCTAAATTTACTTAAAGGGTTATTAATAAAAGAAATGAAAGAAAGAGAGGAGCTTGATGAGGAGGAAGACGAGAGAGGCTCTAAATTCTTCAACGGGAAGAGAAGTTTCTTTTATGAAGTTGAAAGCATTGCTCAAGATGTAATTGAGAGCTTGTGAATATGGTATTTTGTATAGGATGTTGAGGGATTAATAAGTGGGTAATTGGTAGATTTTGGGCTCTGGACAGCTATTGCTAAGCTCCATGGATAAGTTGGTGTACTGCTTTTGAATTCTTTAGGACCCTAAAAAGAACAATTTCCAGCAATTTATGGGTTCGTTGTATTGTAGCTATTAAGTAATTCGTTTATTTGGTAAAATATATAGTTTCATCTCTGAGGTTTTTTTTTATTTGGTGGACATTTCTGAGTTCTTTTGATTCCTATTCAATTGGATATAATTGTATCTTTGTGGAATTTGACATTTTTTGTGTGTGCCCGAAATCAGGTTTAATTGTGAACATCCAATTAAAAACCAATTAATAATGAGGGAACAGCGTGCATATGTTAGCTGTTAATTTGTTTTTTCTTTTGTTGGCATTACCTGTTTAACCAATATTATATGTTAACCAGTAATCGATCCGGGTAACTTAATTATATGCTAGAAAGTTGACTTACCCATCACAGCACATGGACTACACATCCTCACATGCATGGGAGAACGCCCAACAATTGTTTAACATCGATTTCTAATTATTAATTGACAATCTCTCTCTCTCTCTCTCTCTCTCTCTCTCTCTAGTGTATCAGAGCCCAACCATGGCAGAATGCTTTTTCGAAAATGCATATACCATTCATTGCTCCCCAGATTCAATTTCAGATATGTTCTTTTGATTAAGGTTATACCAAAATAAGGCCATTATGGCGTCTGCTGCAACAGACCTCTTCCTTGGCAAATTTGTTGCCATTCTTGAGAGTGAAGCAGCCTCCATAGCGGGTGTTCGTGATCAAGTTGATGAGATTAAGCAGGAGCTTGTATTCATGAAATCCTTCTTAGAGGATGCTGACGGCGGAGAGCAGGCACACACACAAGTAGAGAAAGCGTGGGTCGCAAGCGTTCGAGACTTGGCCAATGATGTTGAAAACACCATTGATGAGTTCATGTATCACGTGTACGAGCAACGAAATGGCAGACGATTTGCGAGGGGGATCCACAAAACCATTCACTTTCCAAAGCACCTTTGGTATAAGCGTCGAATAGCCAACAAGTTACAGAAAATCACAATGGCGATTAGAGCTATTCCAGAGAGAAATCAGAGATATCGTGGTGCTGCAGCTGTAGAAGTAAAAAGTACTTCTGAGGATATTCGAAGATGGGTGCAGAACCAAGCGGAGTCTTCTCTTTATCATCAGGAGGATGAACTTGTCGGGATTGAAGGCGATAAGAACATGTTACTGCGATGGCTGATGGATGAAGCGAAGCACAAAACTGTTGTGTCTGTGGTCGGGATGGGAGGATCGGGGAAGACAACTCTAGTTGCAAGGACCTTCAAAGATGAAATTGTAAAGAGGCATTTCGAATGCTATGCGTGGATTACTGTTTCCCAGTCTTATGTGATTGAAGACTTACTTAGAAGATTGATCAAAGAATTCCACAAAGAAAAGAAGGAAGAGGTCCCTGCAGAAATGAATGCCATGAGTTATAACGAATTGTTGGAGATGTTGGTGAACTACTTGGAGACTAAAAGGTACCTAGTTGTATTGGATGACGTGTGGGATGTCCACCTTTGGGAGAAAATAAGGTTTTCATTTCCAGATAAACAACTTGGAAGTCGAGTCATGCTTACAACTCGAAGAGAAGACATAGCATCCTCTTCTTTCGGAGTTGAAAGCCATGTTCACAAGATTCAACCGTTGGAAAGGGGTGATGCGTGGGATCTCTTCAGCATGAAAGCATTCTCAAGTTATCAGAACAAATCTTGTTCACCTGAACTTCTGCCTTTAGCTCGGGAACTTGTGGAAAAGTGTGAAGGCCTACCACTCGCGATCGTAGCCTTAAGTGGTCTCATGTTTTCTAAGAAGTCACTTACAGAGTGGAGCACAGTCTACAACAGCTTAAGTTGGCATCTAACAAACAATTCTTTGTTAGAACCTATGAAGATGCGCATCTTGTTGTTTAGTTTTAATGATTTGCCATACCGACTGAAGCAATGCTTTCTATATTGTTCCCTTTTCCCTGAAGATCATGTGATCATAAATATAAGGCTCATTAGATTGTGGATCGCTGAAGGATTTGTTGAACATGTCGAAGGGCTCACGCCAGAAGAAGTTGCAAAGAGCTATCTTATGGAACTCATTTTTCGTAACATGCTACAGGAAAGGTTTGTAGGATCCAACCCAGCATGTACGATGCATGATCTTTTGCGGGAGATTGCTCTGTCTATAGCAAAAGAAGAAAAGTTTTGCGCTGTGCATGATGGGAGTGAAACAGTAGAAGAAACTGGGGCACTCCGTTTGTCAATTCAAACAACTAAGGGAGAAATTGGATCATGCACAGGTATATCACGGCTTCGTTCGTTTCTCGTCTTTGCCACTGGAGTATCCTCGTTCTCTTTCTCAAATAAATTACCTTTTGACCTTAAATTGTTGAAGGTTCTAGATTTGATGCATGTCCCACTTGATAATCTGCCAGACAGAGTAACGTGCTTATTCAATTTAAAATATTTAAATTTGAATGACACTCTGATTAAGGAGCTTCCAGAATCCATTGGACAGCTCCGCAACCTTCAGACCTTGAACATCATGGAGACAAAAATAAAGGCACTTCCAAGAGGGATTTCCAAGTTGCTAAACTTACGCCATTTACTTGTGGGCAGGTTCATTTCCAGAAAGATGATTGGGGTAAGAATACCATCAAGTATTGGTAAGATGAAGAAATTGCAATCTTTGGCGTATATTGAATCAGAAGGAAACGTTATTAGACTTATTGGAAGTATGACCCAGCTTACGTTCCTTGGCATTACAAATGTGAAAGAAAGAGACGAGGAGGACCTATGTGCCTTAATTCAAGAGATGAAGGTCCTTTCCCGCTTGTTTTTATTTGCAGCCGATGGAGAGGAATTTCTTCGAGTCGACGCATTGTCTTCACCGCCTCCCTACCTTGATATACTTTACTTGGAAGGCAAACTGGAAAAGGTACCACATTGGTTTTGTTCACTCCACTCGCTCACATATTTGGATCTGCATGAGTCCAGACTTGAAGAAGATTTACTACCTCATATTGAAGCATTGCCCTCTCTACATACTCTTTGGCTTGATAATGCCTCTGTTAGGAAAGAGTTATGTTTCAACAGAGGCTTTGTGAAGCTTCGGCAATTTCGGTTTCTGAATCTCGCATTATTAAATAAGATAACTATAGAAAAAGGGGCGATGCCAAATCTCGAGTTCTTAGTCATTGATAGTTGCTTGACATTAGAAACATTGCCACAGGGTATTGAGCACCTTACTAAACTACAAGGATACAGATTTGATAATGTTTCAGAGAAGTTTAGAGAGTCCATAAAAGAAGGAAGTGTGGATCATGCAAGGATGCAACTCATCGATGAGAGATGTAAGAAATATGCGTAAGTATCTTTTATCCTTTCATTGACTTTCCTAAACTTAATGATTTGGAATATTGCACTAGTGTTCAAGAAATTGCTCTCATTCACATCTCTGTTAATGGATGTAAAGCCATATAGATTGTTTGTTAATTACAATATTGCTTTTGTCTTTTTATATATTTTGCAGAGACAAGTCCTGGGATTGAAGATTTTACCCATGAGTTTAGGGGTGGGAAGAACTTTTTCGTCTTGTTTTGACCCCAAGACTGATCCAGATTGGCTTCTTATTTGCTCTTTTTGAAAATCAAATGTCTTTGTGTGTGTTTTAATTTGCATGTAATAAAATTCGAGTTTGCATCTGTCATTTCAGCAATTGGCAGATGTATCTCGATGATAAGCTTTTAAGATTTGGACCATGGATTCTTTTATATTCTCTTCTATGTTAATTGTGTTTGTATTTTCAGGTTTTTTCTTTGGGGTCAGATTTTGAACTTTCAGATTGGCTAAATAAAAAATACAGAATCTTAATTGCTTTCCATGAGAAGTTCTATAACACAGGAATGTCAATGTAGCGGTATCTCAAGTCAATTATGCATTGTTATGTGAGGAAACTAAAACACATTACAATGCGTAATTGATTTGAAATGCCGCCATAATGACATCCATGACGTAGGTAAGTTTTTCATCGCCCTTATTGAGTAACCTGTTTGAATCTTCTCCCCAAAGGCGCCTCTTCTGCGGCGGTTGACCTCCCAGTGCCCCCTCCCCTCTTTCACCCCCAATTGTGACAAGGATGCGCTCAAATATTTGATCTTATCTAAGGAATGAAATGTAGCAAACAAAACTACATAAATTTAAAACATGTTTGACAGAGAAAATAAAAAGACATTCGTTTTAGGCAGTAGCCGCTTCCACGTGGAACCGTACGTGGGGGGCTAATAACGGTTTTAACCAAAACTCCAGGGACTCCAATTTTTCTCACAGACAAAAACACAAACACAAAACAAACACTCTGTTTTCCCTATGATCTCTCTGCCTCTCAGAGCCATGGATGAAGAATACGACGTCATAGTGCTCGGAATGGGCCTCAAAGAATGCACTCTCAGCGGCCTTCTCTCAGTGGATGGTCTCAAGGTAAAAGCTTATGTGAATGGTTATTTTGTTGCTTCCTTATGGTAAGGTTATTGTCTAACAAATCTGACCTACTGCTACATAGTATGACGTACTTTTCTTCTATTCATGCTTCTCTCTAAATACGGCTTCGATTTATTTATCTATTTTCGGATGTTAGCTTTGGAAGCGATTGAGTAGAGACTACAATGTTGACATGATCCCCAAAGTATCAAGAAAATGATGCATATATTTCTTCCTATTGTTCTTTGAATTCTTCTTTTAGTTTTCCTTTCGTTTAATCGTCTTATATAAGGTGATGATGATGTACCATTTTCTCTTTTTGCTTAAGATTGTAATATGTTGATAGGCTGTCATGTTAATTGGTTTGTCCGTAAATAATGTGATTTAGCTAGGTTCAGTCATTCATGGGTTAGCAAAGTTAAAAAAAAGCTCTAGGAAACCTTATTTGGAGTAACATACAAATTATATATATACTAAAACTGAATCCAGGAATTCACTGTTCCTAGACTGTTCATTCGCAATAGTGAAGTGACGGTTTTGCCCTTTACTGAATTTTTCCTCCTATGTTCCCTTTTTGCCCCTCTCTCTTTGGATACTAAATCTCTCTACTCTTTCGTTTCCACAAAACATTGCTTCGAACCACTTCGTTCGACTGATTGGGGGGCAGCCATGGAATACACGACTTCAGTCTTTGGGATTCGTTTGGGGCCGTCGATTTCCATTTGGGCTGGCGCCTTGCGAATCTCGCCGTTTGTTTGGTCTTCATCTCATCTCATCTGCTCATTCGTTGGTTCAGCCATCTTCAATCTTCTGTCCAACGTTTTTCTGAGAGATTTTCGATCTGCCAGTTCTTCCATCGTTTCTCTTCAGGTTTGCATCCCCTCAACTTTTTAAGGGATTAATGGCTTGCTGATGGGTTTCTGAGCATGCTATTGAATCCTTTGATTCCTTGCCCAAATTGATTCTGCTGCTGTGATGATTTGTTGTATTGTTATTTGTTGTTATGATGATAGGTTTAGATGTTTACAATATCTGAGCATGTTGGTTAATCCTTTTGAGTGTTTTGGCAATTGGTCTATTAATACATCCATTGATCTGCTAAAGAATCACTTTATAATACTTTGTGTTTCCAACGACATATCTTATACTTTGTGTTTACAACCGACGTGAGTTTGAATGTAAGGGCTAGGATCTTAAATTCCAGAAAAATGAGCAGTTACATTGGTAAATTGGAGGAGCTCTAAGAATTTGTTCTTTGATAAGTTTGGCATGCTTTAGTATTATCTTGGACTGAAGAGCAGAGCTCGAAGCAATGTTTTGTTCTCTTTGTTTTTCCAAAAGACAAGTATTTAGAATTTTCGACTGGACAAAGAACTTTACATGTAATATTCTAAAAACTGAGAGAATTCTCTGCAACTAGCCTTTGGAAATATGTGGTTGTCACTGTTCTTCTAAAACAAAAAACCAAATCTAAGACTATGAGGATTAATTCCTTACCATTGTGGCAGGCATGAAAAGCTTTTACCTGATCAAACAACTTGGCCAATAGGCAATCTAATACCAAGAAAACTAATTCCACTAGGCTAACATAACAATGGATGATGGATTTTGTATTATATTCTTCGGCAATAGTCCTGATTTGCCTCATTTTAATGCCAAAAAGTTGAAAAATCTTGATATTGGATCATGCATTCTGCAGCAAAGAATATAGTTTCAAATGGGATTTAGAAATACCTTATTTAGTGTCAGTATCCAGTGACATACAATGAATTTAAATTTAGCAAATGGATTCTTCAAATTTCTTCGAAATTGTTTTTATATTTAGCCTTCAAAGATTTTTACAATAAAGGATCCTTTATATATATTCCCAATGTGTCTTCATTTGGTTGTAAATATACACAAATCAATGTCTTTGTGTGTGATTTGAAGGATTGCTGAGGTGTGGGAAGAGTTACAAACTGTGGTGGATAAATTATCTAAGGGCTGACTTGAAGAGAGGGAACATCACTGCTGAGGAGGAAGAAACCATTGTTAAGTTACACACTGCTTTGGATAGTAGGTATATATATATATATATATATTAATTATACCCTCATTTTTTAATTAAATAAATATCTTTTTATATAGTTCTCTTTGGCCAGCAGCTTTCCTTTCTGTATAATATATCTATGCTTAGAAAATATGAATGTAACCATTCTCAATTCGCTCTTAGTTTGTAAGTTCTAATTTTATTAAGATCCCTCTTTGAACAGGAAAATCCGTCAGCCTGATACTTTATAGAACCATTTTTCAACTTGGTTATGCTAAGCTAGATTCAAGCTCTCTAGAGACTAATATTTGTGTTAATTGGAAAATCTGATATAAAACAACGCTCATGTCAATGCCCATTGATCTACAATTCTGCTACCATTGTTAATTAATTTGATTAATTACTTTATTATGGCTGCATTGTGATATTGCCAATGTCGAAAAGGATTTATATTTGAGAGATGTTATTCTGTTTTGTTCGGTCTTTGTTTGTTTTTGTTTTCTAGGATTTTTCTTTTGTTTTAGTAGTGGTCTAACAAAGTTCAAGCATCTCATATAAAACCACTACACAGGATTTTTTGTTGCTTTTTCTCCTCTTCTTTTTTAACCACGTCTACTTTTGATGTTTTGTAGGTGGTGTTTTGCTGCTTTAGATAGAGATGTTTGGTGGTTGTTTTTGGTTTTGTTAAACAAGAGGTTCATATCTATGTTGAAAAGAAACAAAAAGTGAACAAAGGATCTAAGATTCAAAAGCTTTTATATTTTTATTCTTTGTTTTAGAAACACTTGCTTTCAGGATCATTTAAACAGCCCTTTTCCTGTGCCTTTATAGTGTTTTTCTTTAGCCAAAACACATTAATTTGGGTAGTCTTGAGTGGTTTCTTTCCGTACAGATTTTGCTCAAGCTAATTTTTTGGTTTAATGAAAAGATTGTGCATGTATAAAATACTCAAGCTAATTTCTTCTCCAGTTTTCTGCTTTTTCTTCCTTTTTCTTCTTTTTTTATTTTTATTTTTAAAACCATGTTTTCTTTTGATATTTTGCAGGTGGTCTTTTGTTGCTTTGGATATAGCAGTTTGGTTGGTGTTTTCGGTCCTGCTAAGCAAGGGGTGAGTTTCTAGGCTGAAATTCCAATTAATTGTTTTAAGTTTTGTGAATAAAGCATAGAAATTAGCTAATGGCATCAATTTAAAATTGGTTGGGATAAGCGTGTACCTCTTATTTTTTCTTCAAGTCTTTGAAGCTGTTTTAGACTGACCAAGTATGTTTTAAGTTGAAAAAGGGTATTGAGTTTTCATGGGAGGAATTTCTCCTAGACAAGTACTGCTACAGCCCATCCCAATCCATCCTTTGTGAGTACGCTTATGCTTTGATGAGATTGACTCACTAATTCTGTTCTCTATTAGTTATGCGGGTCTTTACCATTAAGCAACTATATGAGGGGGCTCATGTTTGTTCTTCTGAATCTCTTATTGACACTACTCGACTTTGCAGGTTTTAGAGAGTGCTTGATGGCAGGTAAATTTAACTCATATCACATTTAGTACTTTAAATTCACCCAAACATATACTGAATTAAAACTGTTTGTTTGCTAAGAAAATGCAAGAAAAAAGCAGAAAATTTCATCTTTTTAAAATATTTTACTATTGTTTTGTGGGTAGAAGTTCACTAATTATGCTTAAAGAGCGTTTGAGGTCACCCGCTTAATAACGTTACTACTTTTTGTTGAAATCACATGGGTTTCTGTGGAATCTCAAGGACATAAGGGCAAAAGTTTGAGTCTTTGTTCTATAATTATGTTGGATTGAAAACTTGGTGCCTTTGTTCTTTCTTGCATGTGCTTGGAATTACAATGAAAATTTCCTGTCATTATTTTTTTGTTGTTGAAGGGTTTGAGCATGAGGATAAAGGTGATTTTGCAACCTCACCAAAGCATTTCAGGTGAGAACCGTATCCTTGAATTGCTCTTTTCGACCAAAATTAAGCCTTTTGTGTGATGGTTTATCATCTCATTGGGCTCTATGTTTGAGCTTATGGATTGGTTCATGGTGGATTTGAATTGTCACTTAGAGATGCTTGGGTGAAGCCGATGACTCTCTGCATTGCAAGACTAGACAAGGTTGAATATTGTTTTTATTTTATTTATTTTTCCTGTTTTTGTTAGACCATTTTGGTTCACTTATTCTCCCTGAATATTGTGCCCAAAGTAGTAAAATAAATTATCGCAGCTATTCAAAAGTATATTTATGTTTGGCATCATCTCATGTTGTGTACGAATTGAGCAATGAAAAGGTGAAAGATAAATTATAGAGAAACATGTGGCGCAAGTGTTTCATTTGTATTGTTTTGGTTTCATTCTTTTGTTGTACTAATGCCTTAGTCTTTTTTTCCCCCTCCACTTGAAGCAATACTATTTGATATTGATGGAACTCTGTGTGATTTAGATCCCATTTATTTCAATGCCTTCCACAAAATGCTTTCATAGATAGAGTGATTGTTTTGTTTCCTACTATTCTGTCATATGGAAAATTTGCAGGATTTATCTGGTCATAATTTGACATTTTTCTTGGGTTTTATGGACTACAATGTGTTCAATTAGAAAGCAATAGTTCATTTGATGTTTTTAGTTGAGGTTGTGGTGATTTTCATTTATTTTCGTTTTTTGCAAGATGTTAACAGTGTACAAGAGAGTCAAGAAGAGGCTGTGAGTAGAAGGAGGTTCTTTGTAGGCTAGACAAGGTTGAATTTTTTTTTCTTTTTCCTGTTTTTGTTCGAAACTTTTTGTTCACTTATTGTCCTTGAATATTATGCTCAAAGTAGTTAACTTTTCGTCCAAAATGTTTTATTTGTGTTTCTTGATTTGAATGAAAGCTTGGTATTTCCTCCCTTTTTGTGTGTGGTTATTTTGTAACTTAGCTACATATTTTCACAACTTTGTACACATTTCAGACGGTTTTAAAACCCGCATCATCGCGCAGGCACCTTTGCTAGTGATTGTCTAAAAAAGAACCGTTAATATTATATAGATATAATAATAAAAAATTCAAAAATAAATATAACATACAAAATCCAAAAAAAGAAAGGAAACACATGCCCTAGCACTACAATTCAAACATGCAAATACTGTCTGGCTTTCTTGTTTTACTTTCTTTCTTTTTTCCTTCTTGTCTGGCTATTCCTTATAATTATGTACATGTATGTTGTTATTTAGATCGAGAGGGAGGGAGAGAAAGGCAAAGTGTACAAACTAGAATAATTGATATCTCTCTACCAATCCAAGCCTTGAGTGTTGGTCATTTAAGCTGCTTATATCTTGCTCTCTGGCTCTGGCCTTTTGCTAAATCAGGCTCTTTCCTTTTTGTGTAACTTCAGAAACAGAGAAGATGATCTTCTAAGAATTAAGTAGGATTTTCAATTTGATCCCTGCGCTACATAAAATATAAAAAATTAATACCTCTGCTGCGATGTTTCTTGTATTTTTACTTGTATGTGTATGCATTATTCACGTTCGCATTGTCACATTATGGATTTAGTTTTGAAGTGAGAATCTTACTTGGATTTCTCGCAGACCACCTATGTAATTCAGCACAACCTACTACCGTCTAGTTTTCTACAAGCACAAGCTCTTGAGATGAAACCAAATTGATCATATGAGTTATCCTTTATTAATTCACATGTTAAAATATGAGTGCATTTTATATGTCATGAACATGGAGGGGCAAAGTTGCAATGGGGTGTTTGATAAAACTCCTCTGAGAGAACATGGAGGGGCAAAGTTGTGCTGGCAGCTAAACTTCATATGTTCTTTGTTTAAATTGACACACCAAAACGAGGTCGTATCTTGTTACTTGTATATAATTCATTCATATTTGAAGAATATTGAGCATTGGAATTTTTAGTTCTATTTTGGAATTCCCCAGTATTCATGTTACTTAGAAAATATTTTGGACAATAAACAACTAATTAACCATGATGTCCTCCTTTTTCCTTCTCCAATGCACCGACCTTTCCAAATTATCTACCACCATTACTTTATGCCGGCCATCATTACGTTCGAACCCATTCCAACATTACTATTAAGAATTAACATTAAATAATTATATTTGACTCCATCATATTTTCTAATTATAATATAGTAATTACTCCTTTCATGATAACCACTCTTCTAAGAGCATTTCCAGCAAGCAGGCTGGGGGGAGGGCTGGGGGGGGGGCTGGGGGAAAATGCTGTTTCCAGCAACACAAAGCTGCCAGGGCAAGGAGTGGGGCCCAGCTACCTGGGCTGGCCCGAAGGGGAGGCTGGCCCGAGCGCCAGCCCGGGCAATCTGACGTCAGCGCGCTACAGTGCCCGCTACAGTGCTTTTTTTGTCCAATAAAAAAATGAAAAAAATCGAAAAAAATACCCAAAAAATACTGAAATTTTTTACTCTTCACTTTTAACACCAGCAGCCAATATTTTTGTAATAAAAAATTGAAAAAAATACCAAAAAATTACTTCTTCTTTATTTATTTATTTATTTTTCTCTCTATACCTTATTTCCATTTTCAACATTTAAGTAAATGTCTTTGTCCTTTTACTTTTATTTATTTTTATATTACTCCATTTACTTAAGTTTACAATGTAAATAAGGAAGTACCCCCCATTTGGATTCAAATAAAAATACTAGAAAATCAAATTCCCACCAAATCAAAATATGAAAAATCGTTTTTAGTGCAAAATACGATTTAGGCTAAAAATGATGGCTAATTAAGTCAATATATACTTCATATTAAAATCCCATAAAATCAAGTTTTCTTATTTGATGTGTAAGGAATAAAAGCCGCCAAAAATTTTCTTGAGAAAATGATTATTTTGAAAAACCATTTTTCATACTTAGTCAATATTGCACCTCCGCTAAAAATCTTGAGAAAATGATTTTTCATACGTAGGAACCCAAAAATCTTATCCGAAAATATTATACAAATTAATTGTTGAAGTAAACAAAGTTGTGAAAAAAACAAAAAAAATGAATAGTATTTGCCATGGCAAGCCTTGCATTGCTGGAAACACAAATTTTTTTTTGCCCTAGGGCAGCCACTATTCACGTGAATAGTACCCGCCCTAGGGCTCCCCTTGCCATGGCAAGGGGCTAACTGGTGGAAGTGCTCTAAGATATACGAATTCCTGTCAGTTTTATTTGGCTGCTTATTATGTGTAAGAGCATCTCATGTTCATATACCTATTAAAAGACAAGACTCGTGATGATAGGAACAATGAGTTGAACTACTACCCCCAATATATAATGACTATCATGAGGATTAGGTAACGTGGTTAGCTAATATGATTAGAAAATATGACTTATCTAATCGCTTCTTATAAGGTTTTTCTGTGTAGGGAAGGTTTGATTTTTTTTTTCCCCCAAAGTTGAAAGATAACTTTATTAAAAGTGGATGGAAACATGAATTAGATTGTTAGACATTGATTTCTCTTCTTTAGACAATTCATAAATTTGGTCGTAGTGCCCTTCTAGAAAGCTTGTGAATAACTTGATTTACTACAAAAACACCTGCTCCATCATTAATCTTAAATCATTACATATAAAGTGCTAATGGAGTTCTTGTGGAGGCTGGGTAGGTTTTTATATTTTATTTTTATAAATAAATTTTTTAATTATTTCATTTGTAAATATGTAATAAGTTTTTAAATTTATTTAAATGTATTTTTGGTAATTACATATGGTGAAATAAAACAAGTTGTAAAAATAACAACACTCTTATTTATATATATATTTTGAAAAACCACAGACTTATCTTATTGCTAATGTAAATTGTAATTGACTTATTGAGAGAGCACTCCCATTGGTCATGCTTAGAGCTCCACTCACATGAAATCTTATTGTTGTTCAAACTTTCTCTTTTCTGTAGATTTTGTTACTTGGTAACTGGTTCAGGTTGTTCGCTTCGAGGAAATTGATCTTATAATATTCAAGAGTAGGCAAGTGGATTCCAAACAAACAAAAAAAGACTAGGCAAGTGGAGCATCTGGAATTTGATCTGAAAAATCCGCGGGCAATCCTTATCAGAAAGACTTTTATGAAATGAAAGTAGTATTATTTTATTATCGTGATCATTGTGACATGCGTAATAATATTTTCAGTATTATTGGTTATGAATAAAATAATTAACAAAATAGTTATCCCCTATAGCAACTGATCTGAATTGGAAAGTAATAGTTATCTAAACTGATCCGAATGGAAATTAATAGTTAAAGAGACGGATTCCATTCTACCTCAAATCATTGGAAATTCGTACCGAATTGAGATTTAAAAATAATTTTTTACTTATAAATATATGTGTCAACATTTAATTAGTTGTATGGGATCCATTAGTGACCGGTATCATAGAAGATTGTCTCACACCCCTAATTTGGTACTATTGATGGCAGCTTGATAACTGTTATCACTTCCACTAGAGGCAAAATATATATATATATATATATATCTTTTCTTCCTGGCTTTGGGGTATACAGATAGAGACATAAATAGGGATAAAGATTATAGAAAAGATGATATAGATGCAAATTTCTATTGAGAAGTTGGGTTTAATTCTCAGATTTCTATTTAACACGTTTGTCATTGAATAAAAAGAAGTTGGGTTTTATTATTTCTCAATATGGCATACATAAATTGAGGAGAAAGGAAGGAAATTCACATTAAATGGAGGCTGTCAGATGTTGAGAACGAAGAGATAGATGGTTCAGATTCTTCCCCAATTTTGGATAAAGTTTAGTCTAAAATCTTGAGAATATAAAAGGGATTGAGAGAGAGAGAGAGAGAGAGAGAGAGAGAGAGAGAGAGAGAGAGAGAAGAGGGTTCAGGCGTGAAGTCTGAGAATGAAGAGGAAGAGGGATTCTAGATGAGAGAGAGCAAGTGAGGGTTTGGGCTCAGAGATTGGGAGGGGATGAGAC